TTCTAGGTTTTCTGCTTTTAATGTAGCCTCTCCCCTATTGCTTAGGTTCTTAGTTGGAGTCATCCTTATAGATCTCTATTCTTCACCCGACTCAACCTTCCTGCTCCCTCATGTCCTCCTCTCCCCTCCTCTTCTCACCCCCATACCACCACCACCCCCCATCCACCCCCCACCCCAGCTGACTACTACTCCATTGTGTAAATGTACCACATTGTATCTAGCCAGTCTTCAGTTGAGGGGGGCATCTAGGTTGCTTCCAGGTTCTGGCTATTACAAATAATGCTGCTATGAACATGGTTGAGCAGATGTCCTTATTGTATGAATGTGCATCTTTTGGGTATATGCCCAAGAGAGGAATTGCTGGATCTTGAGGTAGGCTGATTCCCATTTTTGCCTGCGAATTTCAAGATTCCATTGTCCACCCCCATACCACCACCACCCCCCATCCACCCCCCACCCCAGCTGACTACTACTCCATTGTGTAAATGTACCACATTGTATCTAGCCAGTCTTCAGTTGAGGGGGGCATCTAGGTTGCTTCCAGGTTCTGGCTATTACAAATAATGCTGCTATGAACATGGTTGATCACATGTCCTTGTGATGTGAACATCACCTTTTAGGTATATGCCTAAGAGTGGAATTGCTGGATCTTGTGGTAGACTGATTCCCATTTTCCTGAGGAATCCTAGGAGTCATTTTCTGGGTACGTTCCTTTAGCAGAACAGTAGTGTTAAGGTTTCCCTTAGGTCTCTGACTTATCTTGTTTCAAGTTTTTGGCCAGGGATGGATTCCATCTCATGGATGGGCCTTAAATGCAGTCACATACTGGTCAGTTACTCCCACAAGCTTTTTGCCACTATTGACCAGCACATCTTGCAGGCAGGTCGGTACTGTAGAGTTAAGGGTTTGTAGCTAAGTTGGTGTTTACCTTCCGGTGCTGTGAACACTAGTCAGGAGGGGTGAAGGCTCTATATAGGCACTAGCTTGACGTCTCCATGTTCAAGGTGTTGAATAGAGAATGTCTTCAGCAATAGGGCTTTGCTGTCAGTTTGTGAAGAGCAACAAATAGCCTGGGCAACAGCTTGAGTTGCTTGCGGTTCCCAGGAGGTCCCTTTGGCCAACAACTTGATTAGAATGTAAACCATTCCCAGTACTGGAAGTTGCGTTTGGTGACAAGAGATATCCAGTTGGGGCTCTGTCTCCTACATTATTTGCCAATTTCATTTAGGTTGTCTTCATATTTGTATGTATTTTAGGAAGCCTCTGCTGTATTAGGTTTTCTATGACTCCCCGCAAGGGCCCTTGTTTAGCAATCCTTCCCCACATTTCCTCTTTCCCTTCCTTTTCCCTCCCTCTCCTTATTGGATCCTCCTGTTCCAGGCTCCCCTCTCATCTACCCATAACTATCTATCCTATTTTCCCCTCCTAAGGGGATCCGTGCATCTCCCCTAGTCCCTTACCCAATACCTAACCTCTGTGGCTATACAGATTGTAGCTTACTTATTGAAGACTTAACAGTTAGCATCCACATGTAAGTGAATGCATACTGTATTTGTCTTTCTGGGGCTGGATTACCTCACTAAAGATAATTTTTTCCTAGCTCATTTGTCTGTGAACTTCATGATTTGTTTATTTTTCACAGCTGAGTCATATTCCATTGTGTAGATGTGCCATGTTTTCTTTATCCATTCATCCATTGATGGGCATCTAGGCTGTTTCCAATTTCTGACTATTATGAACACAGCGTCAATGAGCATGGATGAGCCAGTGTCTCTGTTGTAGGATGAAGTGTCCTTTGTGTGTATGCTCAAGAGCCAAGAGTGATATAACTGGATCTTGAGGTAGATCTATTCTCAGTTTCCTGAGGAACCACCACACTGATCTCCATAGTGGTTCTACAAGTTTGCACTCCCACCAGCAATGGACGAGGGTTCTCCTTACTCTACATCTTCACCAGCCTGAGGAGTTATTTATTTGGTTTTGGGGTTTTTTATTTTTATTTTTATTTTGCAGGAGAGGGGTGGGGCAAGAAATGGTTTATTTCATCTTAAAGATTAGAGTTTATCATGAAGGGAAGTCAGGGCAGGAACTTGGCACTAGGAGCTGAAACAGAGGCAGAGGAGAAATGCTATTTTCAGGCTTGCTCAGTCAGCTTTCTTATACAGCCTTGAACCGTGTGCCCAGTGATAACACCACCCACAGTGGGTTTCACCCTTTCACATAAGTCATTAATCAAGAAAACGCCCCCCCACAGACTTGTCTACAGGCCAGTGGGATGCTGTCGTTTTCTTCATTGAAGCTCTGTCTTCCCAGATGAGTTAACCAAACAAACAAAAACCCAACCAGCAGAGTTACTTCCAGGACTATGGATGAGGGCCTCTTCTAGGAAGCAGAAATGATTCAAAGACAACTGCATCACCAAAGCTCACAAGAGCTGGAAACCTGGAGCACACTGCACAGCTTGTAGGACACTCAAGGGTGAAGAGTGTCCTTTGCGGGTGGCTCGGTAGGTCTGAGCTCTTCCAGGCAGTGTACCTGGCCACTGTGTCTTCCAAGCACCTCAGCTGCTCTGTTTCCTTCAGGCTGCTGGTGATGGGCTGAGCCTCCTGGGGGGTCAGTCTCAGCAGGACTCACTGCTCCTGTGTGCTTTGGAAGGGAGGGACAAGTGAACCTGGTCAGTTTCAGGGACTTCTGAAGCTGTTTTGAGTTGCTTACTACCTGAGCCTAACAAATTTTGCTGCAATATAGAAAGTTTCAACCTCCCTTAGAATACCCTGTTTCACCTTCCTGGAAACATCCAGTCTAAAATATGGTGTTCCCCTTCCACTCCCAAGGTTTTCACAAGTTTCCCTTCAAGATGGAAGATGTTCATCTCCAGGGGAAAAAAAAGGCTACACAAGACTACATCGTATATTGTTTCAACTTTTAGGTTTTTGAGAAACCTCCGTACTTATTCCCATGGCAGCTACACAGTTTAGAGCCCCACCCCCAACAAATAAGGGTTCCTCCTTCCCTGCATCTATGCTTGCATTTGTTGTCATTTGTTTCCGTGATGCTGGCCATACCAATCGGGATGAGGCAGAGTCTCAGAGAAGTCTTCATTGCCTTTCCCTGATGTCTACGAATGTGGAATACTTTTTCAAACATGAATTGGAAAATGACTATTTGTATCCAGGGATCTTTCATGTTTTTATATGAATCTTAAGATGATTTTTTTCTAGTTCTGTGGAGAAAAATCGCAGAGATTTTGATGAGGATTGTGTCACAGCTGAAGACCACTTTTGGTGATGGAGACATGGTCACACACTAATCCTGCCAATGCACAAACACAGATTTCCATCTTCTAATGTCTTCAACTTCTTTCTCCAGAGTGTGCAAAGTCTTCAGGGCAGAGGTCTTTCACCTCCACGGTTATGTTTGTTCTTAGTTTTTCTTTTTCAAAAAATCTGTTATGAATGGGATATTTTTCCAAATTTCTTTTTCAGCACTCTTTTATGGTATACATAAAAGTTACTGGATTTTGTGTGCGGATTTTATATTGTTACTTAGCTAGAAGTGTTACCTAATCAAAGAGTTTTCTGGTAGAGTCCATAGGGACTTTCAAGGATAGTATCATGTGACTTGCATAATAGGATATTTTGGTTTCTTCGTTTCCTGTTTGTATCCATTTTATTTCATTCTCTTGTTTTACTGTCCTAATGACTTTGGGCGTTGCATTAAACAGAGTGGACAGAGTTGGCATCCTTTTTGCTTTCCAAGTATTAGTAGAAACGCTCAATGTTCTCCAAATATTAGAATTTGGACTATGGATCTGTTATATGTAGTCCTTATTATTTATACACAGATATGTTCCTTGAGTTCCATGGATTGTTTTTTTTTTTTAAGAACTTTTATTATGAAGGGACATTGAACTTCATCAAAGCCTTTTCTGTGTCCATTGAGATGATGAGGTGATTTCTACTCTTGAATCTATTTGTGTGTTATTTTGCAGATGTTGAATATACCTTGTATCTCTGCGATTATTCCAACTTATTCATGCTGTCTAAACTGTCCATGCTGATCTCTGTGGGCTCCAGCACAGAGGAAGCTGGAGTGACTTCCCTCTTGGTTTCCTGCTCTTCTGCATTATGTCTTCTTGTGTGGCCACCGTTTCCCAGACCTTTTTTCCCCGCTGATTCATATTCTACACTTTTCTATTTGAAGGAACTCGTGGAAATCTTTCACTGTCTTCCTCCCCTTTGTTCATGTGGCTGTTGTAAGGTACTGAAATGTCACACTCATCACCATGAGACATCTTCCTGTCTTTTCCTGAGCGTTTTTTTGGTTGGCTGGATGCTGGGTTTTTTCCTTTTTCTTTTTTTTTTTCTAAGGATTGAACCCCAAGCCTCATGGATGCTAGTCAAGCCCCCTACCATTGAGTGACATTTCTGGCCCTCCTGAGTCTTCTTGATTATATATTTGTATGTTAAATTGGAGGTAGCATTGGCTCAGAGGGGAATGACTACCTCAGCATATAGATGTAGATTTTTTAAATCATTTTTTATTTGAATTAGAAACAAGATTGTTTTACATGACAAGCCCAGTTCCCTTCTCCCTCCCATTAGATGTAGATTTTTATGAGGTCAGAGAATATTTTAAAGTCACAAACCCTATTGGTGGGGACGGAACCTAATTGTAGATGGGCTGCCTTGCATGCATAAGACAGTTCCACTCCAGCACCACAAAATAAAGGAACACATAGGTAAATGCCACTCTCTGCAAGTATAGCTGCTTTTGAATGTGTTTCTGTGGCTAGACATCCTGCAAGCTCACTTAGCACCAAGCTGATGAAACAAACATAATCTGGACATTTGATTTCTTCTCTCCTAGTTATGACCAGCGAGGAATTTTCCTGTTAGCCGGTACAGTGGAGGGAAACATCTTTGTTATCGATGCCAGACCCTCAAAATCATTTCAGGTTTTCGGATACACCGGTATGCTACAACATATTTGTTTGTTTAAAATTTGGATCACTTTATGACAAAGAATTTAAGTTAAGATTTTGCATTATCATAAAAACATTTTTTAAAGATTTATTTATTATGTGTACATTGTTTGGTCTGCATGTATGACTGCAGGCCCGAAGAGGGCACCAAATGTCATTACAGATGGTCATGAACCACCATGTGGTTGTTGGGAATTGAACTCAGGACCTTTGGAAGAGCAGGCAGTGCTCTTAACCACTGAGCTATCTCTCCAGTCCTCATAAAAACAATTATATATATATACATAAATATATAATATTTTTCTGAAAAATAATACTTTAAATAGCAGTTAAATTCCCATATTATATTTAGAGAAATTTGGACTATTAGAGTTGTCTGATATAATTGATGCTAAGAAGTCTTCTATCAACTACTGAATGAATTAGTGAATTATCTAAACATTTTGATACTATAAGGAGAGGAAAAGCTAGGAATCCAACAGAAATCCTCCTCACCTCTCACTGAAACTAGACGCAGAGTCTGGAGCGGTGAAGAAAACACAGGATGTTCCAAGTAGTGAGGGGCCTGCACCAGCCTTCCCAGAAACAGCTCCAGGAAGACAAAATGGGTGAAAGTTCAGACAAGTGTGGGTTAGGCAGGCTCAGGAGTCCCCTGTGTGTTGCTCAGTCAGCAGGTGTTCCTAAGAGACAGACAGATGGGCCATGGAGGGAACGGGTGAGAAAACAGAGTCAGTACCTGCTAAGATGATGCCGTAAGCTTACAGAGATTGAAAGCTTGTGTGACAACTGTCAAGAGCAAGGAAAGCAGAAGGCATCAGAGAGAACACAAGGAGTCGGAAAGCAGTGATAGTGATGTGTTGTCTTAATGGGCTCAAAATCACAGATGGGACCCAAGATTGACCCTTGCATCCCAGCAATGCCAGGAAATGAAGGGAGAGGATGGAAATAAATAAGAAAAGATAAGAGAAAGACAAAGTAACACCCAGGATGGGGTCATTGCAACAGAATTTTCGGGGCTGTTCGAGGTCTTCCTGGTTATGGAAGGAGGAAGCCATGTTGTTGAGTGCCTTGCAAGAAGGAAGAAATTGGCTGTACTGTCCAGTGTTGGGTGAGAGGTAAGAAATTGGCTTGGCATAGGTCAGCGAGCAGGATTTCCCAAGGGCCAAACCCGTATCAGGTGAATTTCCATGACATATGTCAAGATGCCAAGAACGTGGGTGTGTGAGACTGCCCAGTGTAAGAACCCGGGAACTGGCTGGCACAGCTACTCAAAGAGCCAGGACATGACCACACAGGGGACAGACAAGACGGACAAAGATGGCAGACCCCAGAAGACACTCCTGTTGGGCACAAGCAGGACTAAACCCACCTGGCTGGAAAATACAATTTCAGACATCTCATCAGAAAAATACCTTCCCAGTCCATCAGAAATGTCCCATTGTAAAAATCAGTTAATAAAGTTTGCTACTAGGGGCTGAGTGAGGGATAGTGTGTCTATTTTGACACATGAAAAGACAACTTGGTGTGTGTGTGTGTGTGTGTGTGTGTGTGTGTGTGTGTGTGTGTACAAAATATTAACAAAAGACCATGTTGAGAATTAAGGGGAAGTAAAGTAGAACCTCTTGTATCTTAATTAGAATGACTCCGGATTCTTTAAACTCAACCGATGACCCATTCCCTTTCAGAGACCAGCAAAGACATTCTGCAGATATCCACGGTGTCTCTCCCAATATCAGATGTGGTAGAAGTGCTGGTGTTGTCCCCACTTCCAGAAACAGGAAGAAGCAGGCTGAAATACTTCACCCTGCCCATCACGTTATCACAAGGTGACACAAAGCAGGCAGCCCGGCCCTTCTGCCTGGCCCAGATGAGCTGCTGTAGTTATTTTCTACTTTCTTTTGGTTTGGTATTCTTCTGACAAAGAGGTGGTGAAGTGGCTGCCCTCTGTGAGTCTTTAAACATAATCAAGGCACTCGGGAGGCAGAGGCAGATGAATCTCTGTGAGTTCGAGGCCAGCCTGGTCTACAAAGTGAATTCTAGGGCAGTCAGAGCTGTTACATGAAGAAACCCTATCTCAACTCCCCCAAAACAAACAATCAAAAAATGAATACTGGTGGGGGCTGTCACTAAGCAGTGTGAAATGTGGACTTTCCTCCATGCCTCGGAACTCAGGAATGTTTATTTGACTTTTTTTTTTTTAATAAAAGAAAAGAAACAAGCTCAGCTGCAATGTCAAGTAATTTTTGTGATGGCTCTTGTTCTGCCATTTTAAATACAGCTGATTTCAGATGTTTTACAGTGTAGCTACCTAGAATTATAAAACCAGCTCACTGGATTAAAAGACCTGAGGAAACAAATATTCTTTTTTGTCTCAGATGACAAATCTAGCTAGCTAGAAATTTTGCGAATATAGAATTACAGAAAATAAGAAAAACAACCTCAAAGTTCTTTTATGCTTTAACTAAGAATCTAAAAAACTAAGAAGCCAGCTCTTTAGAGGCAGGGCAAGGAAGATCTCTGTGAATTCCAAGACAGCCTGCTCTATATGCAAATTCTAGACCAACCAAAGCAAACAGTAAGATGCTGCCTCAAATAAAAAAGTCAAGAAAAAAAAAAGAATCTTGGTATTATCATGTTTATTTTAATGTTAATCTTTAAGCTAGTTTATGAAATGAAAGGCTATGAAATATAGTTTCCTGACTATCAGTGTTAAGTATCTCTGGTTGAGGTAAATTGAACAGTTTTTTAAATCACCAAATAGCTTCTGTCCTATTAATCAACAGTTTACATTTTTATTTTGCATTTCATAACTGTGTCTACTGATTGCCCAAGTGAACTCTCGGGTGCATGTGGGCTTTGCTCTTTTCCTCATTTTAGTTTCTGATAACTTTTATGATGAACGAGGAAGACTGCATGATGAACTCATCCACAAGCTCCTGTATGAGGTGGAGCACTCTCTGTCCTCCGCTGTGCTGAGCTTTGAAAGCAACAAGATCTATGGTTTCTGCAGCCAGGTGCCATACATCTGTAGCTATCTGCTTCCTGAAGAGGTACGCCAGACTCCAGCAATCCAGACTGATTCTAACAATTAGACAAGATCCTCTTGGCTTCCTCAGCCGACTAATTCAACCAGCAAATGGCTTTATTATAGTAGCAGCGTCACCTTCAGTTAGACACACAGGAGTCATTGGTTTAATCCATCATGAATTCAACTGAGTGACCTCACACTTGGGGCACAGACTCATTCTAGACATATAAACATGCAGGTGATAGGGTGTTTGTTTATCGTCTTAAAAAAAAAAAAAAAAAAACATCTGGCATTAGATCTGTTCCATAGAAGTCAGTGGCTATGAGGTAGATAATTTTCAGTAAAACTTTATACCCAGGCCCTAAGTAAAATCACACAAAATACTTAAACTATGTTTCTGTCATGTTGCTCCATCTCTCCAAATTTCTTCCATTCTGGGGCAAGCCCTGCTGCACACACCAGCCCAGTGTCTTGCTTGCAGCTTTTGGCCTTTCAGCATTCCACCGATGCCTGTCTTCAGGTGGATAGGAGGGGACTCGATCCCATGCTTCTCTAGCTTATTTTTACCTTCTCCCAGTTCTTCTCTCTCCATGTAACTGGTATTAGACACAGAAATTAAGAAAAAGAAGAGACTGTTTGCGGTAATGGAAGCTCGAGAAAACTGTTGTAGGGGAAGCAATATTTATGCTAGACTTTAAGGGATGAGTCAGATTTGAGGGATGAGACAGGGAAAAATAGCACGTGCACCCTGGGGACGGAGGGCAGAGGCAGGGAAGTGGACTAGGATTGGTGGGATGGAGTTGAGAAGGACACTTCAGACAAAAGGAAGGGTCACATCTGTGACGTGGAGAAGGGGATGCATGGGGCAGCAGTGAGGACATCGACGACTTGTATTTTGATTTGTGCATGATGGTATATAAAATGATGGCTGAAAACAAAGACCCTGGGTGTAGGCTTGGATCCTTAATGGCAGAATTACATATAAAGAGGCTATTCCTGGGCTGGGGCAGATCTGTGCTTGAGAGTACCTGTCTGTTATGCAGAGGAGCCTGAGTGTGACCCCAACACCAAAATAAATAAATAAATACGCTCCTTGGCCGTCAAACCCAGATTTTATTTATAGAGACCTAATTAATACAGGGTATAAACACGGGTGCCTAGTTTGTCCTGTACAGGCTTATTTCCAAGGTCAGTACTCTGGGACTTGAACCTGACCATTCATGTTAACGTACACCTGCAAAACCAAAGTTGCCACCAGCCTGATCCTTCTCCACAATGTTGTTCTCTGCTTTGATTGGCAGATGCACACTGGCATTTATGTCCTTAAGCCACACCAAAAAGTTCAAAGCAAACATTACGGACCTGGCATGATCTATTTGTCTTCACATGGACTATGGCTCCAGACAATAGCCAAGTGTGGCTTTTTCTGCATCCGAGACATTTTCAGTCTGGTAAATTTTAAAAAGAACCTCTGGTGGGGGGCTAGAGCAGGGGTGTTAAAGGGGGCTCAGTGGCTAAGGGCATTTGTTGCTCTTGCAAAGGACTCAGGTTCAGTTTCCAACAGCCACTCTGTGGCTCACAACCAGTTCCAAGGGATCTGGCACCCTCTTCTGGCTTCTATGGGCACCAGACACACATATGGTACACATACATACATGCAGACAAAAACACTCATACACATAAAACAAAGATAAATGTTTTTAAAAATATATTAAAAAATATATTGGGCTATATTGGGCGGGGTCAGAGAGATGGCTCCTGGGTTGTTAAGAGCTCTGCTGACTCTCGCAGAAGACCCGTGTGGTTCCAGCAGCTGGGCTGAGTGCTTCACAGCTGGCTGTAACTCTGTCTCAGGGGTATCCTATGAGCTTACCTCCACCAGCAGCTGCACTCCTGGGCACGTACCCACACATACTCATCATTAAATAGATGGATCTCTGAGTTCAAGAAAACCCTGGGCTACCAGAGAGTGAATCAGAGCTCATGCCTTTAATCTCAGGATTTGAGAAATATAAAAGGTAGAGGCATTCAGTCTGAGAGTGAGTCTCTAGCCATGTTGAGGAGAGCATAGCAGTCTGAGTGAACCTAAGGAGCAATGACGTTGGGAGCAGTCTGAGTCATCCTTTTGGTCCGAGCATATATAGAGGTAAGAGCTAGTGGCCAGCTGCTTTGCTTTTCCGATCTTCAGCTTGAAGTTTGAACCCCAATATCAGTCTCTAGGTATTTTTTTTTCCATGCTACATCAGGCCAATAAAGAAAAAAATCCTAAGCTTCATTCATAGAAGACTAAGTAACTAAATGAGTTATGGTACAAATCAATACATAAGTAAAACATGGACTATTGTGCAGCCTTGAAGCAGAGTAGGGAAAGCTCTGCGTAGCAGTACAGAAAAATTCTCAAGAAATATTGATCGGTACGTAGAAAAGCAAAGTTCATAGTATATATGTTATTCTACAATTTGTGTAAAACTTATATTTACACAAATATAAGGCTCGTGGGGGTGCTGTATTCCTAGCTTTTGAGGGAACTGCTGAGCCATGGAGTCAGAAGAGCTTTGTGCCAGACTCACTGCTAGTTTTTTTTTTTTTTTTTTTTTAACTACTTTGATGTATTGTCCATTCAGAAAGGTACATGGAAAGGCATCAGGCTTGAGTGCCAGGGTAAAGGCTGTTGGTTTTACTAAAAGAGCTTAAACTGTTGTCTCGTGTAGGGCAACACAGCAGAGGCATGTTTCTTTGGATTACTTAATTGGTTTAATTAGCACCCCCAGGGCATGTTAGCTTCCTTCTGTGAGTTTCTCAGCACCTTTCCCATCACACAAAGCCACTTTACACAAAACAGATCCCTCCTGGTCCATGAAGGCATCCTAATTGCACTTGCTGGAAGTCCCTCCCCTAACCACACAGCCTTCAGCAGGACACTGACAGAGCGTCTGATTGCCTGGTTCAAGCTTCTGGTTCTGATCCCTGTCCTTCCGAATTCCACAAAGTAGTGGGGAAATAAATCCATATTGCCTTGAACTAGAGGTTCTAAGTGGTGTATACTATCAAGAACTACCTCTGTACCAGCTAAAATGTCACTAGAAATACAAAAAAAAAAAATACCCATAAGAGAAAGTAGACGTGACCATGTTAGAAAAAAATGCTGGATGACTGAATTTATAATTTCTCCATTTTATTCCTAAAACTATTGAGGAAACATTTGCTCGGTGTCGGAGCCATTCTTATCAGGGGTGTGGGATCCAGTACATAAAGATGTCAATGGATGGACAGCACATTCTGCTGAATGGGAAAGACGACGGCACCCTTGTCTACCTCAAATGGAAGTACGTATGGTGCACAGTAAGCAAGGTTATGTGGTAAGGTGTTTAAAATTCAGAAAGCCAGTTTCTCAGAAAATAGACTGTTACACACAGAGATCTGAGAGGAGAAGGCTTGCTTGCTGCAGGAGCCGTGTGGGAAGCCCCAGGGTGGATAAGGATGCTGAGAAAGAAACATGTCCAGAGCCATCATTTCCAAAAGAAGAATCTAGAAAGATAGATTGAGCTGGGATGGGTAAGGTCATCAAGTTCTGAGATGTAGGGGCTACTTCTTGTTGTAGGAACTTGATCCTGAGGCTATTAGTAGCCAAGAAACAATGGCCCTAAGTGTGAGAGCTCCCCCTCCCCCAGGAGTTGTCCGGAGTATGGTCTCTGGATTGGTTGGTTGCATTTGCTCTAGAGGGAGTAATCACCATCTCTAGGAATTGGCTCACCCTGTGTCAACAACATGACACCCAAAAGAGAGCTTGGACTTTAACGTTGTCTTTTTGTTTGGTTGGTTTTTGTTTTGTTTTGTTTTGTTTTTTGAGACAAGGTTTCTTTATGTAGCTTTGAAGCCTGTCCTGGCACTCACTCTGTAGACCAGGTTGGTCTTGATCTCACAGAGATCTGCCTGCTTCTGCCTCCTGGGTGCTGGGATCAAAGGTGTGCGCCACCACCGCCCAGCAAAATGTTGTCTTTTGGGAGCTGCTGATGGACATCATCTACTGGCATGCAGTTAGTTCCCTCTGGCAACAGTACTTTTCAAACACAGCCTTCCTTGGTAGCATGGTGGGAACCTTCAATACTATGGGGACTTTGTGCAGTAACAATTTGGGGAGCCATTTGAAGATGCATCATCACATCCATTTCATACATGAGAACCCTGAATAAAACAGAAATTTGCATCTCATTAAATAAGTCATAACATGTCCTTTATAGTCAATGACTAAACAGTGTCTCGGACGACAGCAAACAAGTGTAGGAGCTCTATTTAGAAAAGGAAGGCCACCTGAGCTCCCACACTAAACAAAGCTGTGTTATGAGACTTGTGAGCCTTGTGACCCATAGGTTTTCAGTGATAACTCTAAGTCAGTGGGGGTCACATACCAGATATCCCATATATCAATTATTCACGCATTATGATTCATAGCAGTAGCAAAATTATAGTTATGAAGTAACAACAAAATAATTTTATGGCTGGGGGTCAGCACAACATGAGGAACTGTATCAAAGGCTCACATCACTAGGAAGGTTGAGGACCACTCTTGTCTAACACAGTGTCACTCAAGGGTGGTGGTCCATAGCTTCTATGAACTTGTTAGAAATCTGTATCTGGGTGTCATTCCCTCTGCCAGCCTCAGAGTGTCAGCACTTGTCCCAGTTTGCTTTTCTGTTGCCCTGATAAATGCCATGACCAGAAGAAACTTGGGAAGAGGAGGTTTATTTCAGCCTACAGAATTGTAGTCCATCATTGAGGGACGTCAAGGCAGACTCAAGGTAGCAGGTTGACATAGAAACCTTGGAACAACACTGCTTGCTGGCTTGCCTCCCCAGCCTGGATATGCAGCACAGAGCCACCTACGAAGGGATGGCACTATATGCTGGGGCCTGTTGCATCAGCAATCAAGATAATTCCCCAGAGATATTCTCATAGGTCAGTTTAATGGAGGCACTTCAACTGAGGTCCCCTTTCCTAGGTGTCAACAAAAACTAACCAGCAGAGTCAATAGACCCAGGAATGTTTTTCCCAAACCCTGCCACATATATTAGCATGAAGTTCTAGATGCCCTGGTGTGTAGCATGGAAAAAACCTTTTGGGTTGGGCCATGAGGGCTAGATCCAATAATGAGATCATATATGTGATGAAGACTGGTGCATTCTGGGGGCTCAGCTAGAGCAGTGACTTTTCCGTGAGGTGGCCAAAGGTCATTTGGGTGAGGGAGGGCCACATAAGGAAAGACCACCCAAGAAGGGTCAGGAGCCTGTGTTCTTAGAAGTCCATGAAAGAGTCCTCTTCTGAGAAATAGAGGCCCAGTGACTAAAGGGCACCATGGAGAACTTCCCCATGTTTCTTTGTGTAGTTATATGGAAATAACACTGCCAAATGTGATTATTTGAAACTGATTTTATGTGTCTTCTCCTTTTCCCTCTCCCTGTCTCTAATATTAGGCGGCTTAGAGCAAGCTTAGCAAATGAGATCTTTGAACACTACCAGCAACTAACAACCACTCTGAGCAACACACTGGAAAAAGAAAATAAGTATTTAGCTGCACCAACAATTTCCGAAGATGTGGAGCAAGAAGACAAAGAGTCATCTGAATCCTCCAATGTAGCTAGCTTGCTTTCTCCCGTTTTATAAATAAGATGGGAGTTTTCAGGTTATAGTTTTCCTTAAGCATGTATTTAATGCTGTTTGTTCTTATGCAGATGCCTGGTGATTTTTCAACTAGAATATAAGCTATATCTGACAGAAAACGCAGCTTTTCTTAAAATGATCACAAATATTATATCTCAAATTTCACTTAAACCATAAGTTCTTTGCTTATGGTTGAAAAAAAAATATATATATATATATATATATATATATATATCTTTTTAAAATTAAATAAAAATGACCTTTGTTGTAATGCACTCACATATAAAAACACCATAAGTAGCTGAAGGAAGCCACTGAAACACTTGTCTACTCTCAAACTCTACACCTCGTGCACATTCACACAGTGACATGGGCCTGCTGAAGCAATGGAGCTTTTTACACTTTTTACAACCAGTTATGAGTTGACTGGGGTTTTTTGTTTGTTTTTGGTTTTGCTTTTGTTTTTCGAGATAGAATTTCTCTGTGGCTTTGGAGGCTGTCCTGGAACTAGCTCTTATAGACCAGGCTGATCTCAAACTCAGAGATCCTCCTGCTTCTGCCTCCCAAGTGCTGGGATTAAAGGCATGTGCCACCAATGCACGGCCTGATTGGCTTTTTAAGACAAAGTCTCATTACATAGCATTGACTGGCATAGAACTTGCTTACATAGCAGGCTAGCCTCAAACTCGGAGATTGGACTGCTTCTGCCTATTATATTTTTATATATGGAAAATATATAACCCCCAACAGAAAAGCTATCACAATGGAATAGAAAGGGGTTCAACAAAAAATATATTGGGTATCTACAAAGTATTAGTCTAGGACAGACACACCCATGATGGAGAAGACATTTTCTTTTCCTTTTCTGATGTTCCCTTCCAGTGAGGCTGCTGGTACTCAGAGAGATGGTTACGTAAGCAGACAAGAAACAACTGATTAGTGAACAGTGCTATTCATGAAATAAGAATGAGCGATACAACAGTGTTGGCTAAGATCAGACTTAAAGAGGGTGCCCTCTTGCAAAGAGAAAGGGCAAGAGGACTCAGGAGAGAGGGACAAGGAGCTTGGTGTCTGATGTGTGGGGACCAGCAAATCATGACACAAAGACTTATTATTAGTTATGAATGCTCAACCTAGCTCAGGCTGGTTTCTTGCTAGCTCTTTTAACTTAAACCTGTTTCTCTCTTCTACCTTTAGCCTTGGGGCTTTTTACCTTTTCTGTACGTCTTTCCTGCTCTCTATGGCTGACAGCTGCCTAGCTTCTGGCCCCTGGCATGTCCCCCTCTTTCTCCCTGGTCTCTTCTCTCTTCTTCTGGATCTTAGATTTCTCCTCCTATTTATTCTCTCTTCTGGTCAGCTCCACCTATTCTTTCTCCTGCCTATATATTGACCGTTCAGCTTTTTATTAGGCCAGTCAGGTACCTTAGGCAGGCAAGGTAAAACAAATGCAACACATCTTTACATAGTTAAACAAATGCAGCATAAACAAACACAACACACCTCTACACAGCTAAAGTAATATTCCACAGCATAAACAAATGCAACACACCTTTACACAATTAAATATTCCACAGCATAAGCAATTGCAACACGCCTCTACACAGTTAAATATTCCACAGCATAAACAAATGCAACATGCCTCTACACAGTTAATTTCCACAACAGTTAGTCCCTAAACTGTCTTTATTTTCTCAGTGGCAGAGGTACGAGGATTAAAGTCTTCCTCTAGGCAGGCGCATGTCTGGAGTTAGTTTTAAGTGAGACAAATACAAAGGGGTCGATGAAGTCATGTGAAGTAAGATGAGAGGAGAGTTTGACATTTTTTAAGAACTGTCTGTTCCCTCCTAATCTCTCTCAGAAAAAGCTGAGCTTGGACTCATCACAAGAGGAATTAGTCATGGGTCCTAAGAAGGAAATTTCCTGGATCCAACAAAAAAGGGAAGAGGTATTTACTCATTTATTATTTGCTTGCTTGTTTATTTGAGTCAGGGTTTCTCTGTGTAGCTCTGACTGTCCTGGAACTCACTCTGTAGACCAGGCTGGCCTCAAATTCAGAGATCCACCTGTCTCTGCCTCCTGAGTGCTGGAACTAAAGGTGTGCACCACTATGCCCAGCCTATGAAAGGGTATTTGCAAAGCATGAATTAACACTCTGTGATGTGCCTACCTCATTTTGTTTCTATGGAAACCTGGGGGAGGGGGTTTAGCATGTCACATGAAACACTCCTTGCATCACATTGCACTGTACAAATGACTTCCTAAAAGCAAGTACATACCTAAGCCAGAGCAAGTTCCAGCATGACCAGGGCCACACAAGAGAGACCCAGTTTCAAAAAAACCAAAAAGAAAAAAAAATGATATACTTAACCTGAAACCCAACAAAAGTATCCAGGAAAGCCAAAGCCAAGAAGGACATGTGAGACTCCATTTTTGTTTTGAGGAATGTTGTCTTAAAGGGGTGGGTTGGGGACAGAAAGGCTACTGTGGCTGGGGACATTCAAAAGATGAGCAGCAGGCTGAAGGTAATGCCTGGATCCAGTGTCACTCAAGTTCAGGCCAAGAAACACATTAGGTTAGTTTTTCTTTGTCCGTTATTCACTATTTGATTGTCTCTACTTATTTCTAATTTGTATGATGGGCATCGGTTTGATGTTGTTTTGGTGGTCATTTACAAACGCCGTTAGATTTAAGCAAAGTGTCCCAGGGATGTGATTTCATTGCTTGTTTTATTTTCCTATTTTTCTTGAATGCATATTCATGTGTTAGTAGCTCCTGACCATATGTGCATGCATGTGAAACCTCAAAGTTGATGTCAGGAATTGTCTCCGTCACTCTTCCACCTTACTCACTGAAGCAGGGTCTCAATCACACTCAGTTAGTGCTGCTACCCAGCTCGCTCTGGGGATCTGCCCTCTGAGGCTGGAACTGAAGGTGGGCTGCCACTCCCATCGACATTTATGTGTGTTTCTGGGGGTCCGAACTTTGGTGCTCACAATCGTGTGGCAAGTCTTTACTGCCTGAGCCATGCTCCCCCTACCCGCACCCCTGTATATTTTAGATTCCAGTCTTTGCAAATGTTCTGTCTCAGTTTTAAAGCCATGCTGCCTGTAATCTATCAGCAATTTGTTGTCTCTCCCTGTCATCTTCTCTTGCCTTATTAAGTGAGGTGCTTGCTCCATTTCAGGCCATCAAAACCGAGGTCAGACTGTTTTCACAGCAAAGAAGAGAGATCAAAAGAGGGATCAAGGAGCTTTCTAGAGTTGTAAGTGCTATGGTTGCGAGCACTGAATGCACCACCCTCTCATCAAAAATGGCAGTTTTCAGCTCATTGTGTGTCACGTGATACGAGGATCTAAACTCCTGGGGTTTCCAGGTGCTCTAACAAGGTCAAAACTTAGCTATATCACACCTTAATGTTAAACAGTGGGTTTGTCCTTCCCCAAGTGCCCCATCTTTTTCTTTTAGCCATTGAGAACTTTATGTCAAAGATTGGTTTCTGTTATAACAAACAGGGACAAACTGTAAAACATGGGGAGTAATGGTAGGGGCTTTCACCTGGGAAGGGAAGAGGGACAGACAGCAGCACAGAGCGAGACAGAGGGAGGAGGCATAAATAACACTAAGGATGTCCAACTAGCTCAGTCGGTAGAGCATGAGACTCATTTTACTATTATTATTATAAAAATATATTTTATTAATATAGATGCTTTCTTCATTTTTCCTACAAAATTACAAGCCGGCACCTATGTTATAGTCAGAAAGTAGAGATATCAGACATTGCATGTAAGAATTTTGAGAGCTACAGATAAGTATCTCCGGGAAGAATTTGAGAAATGATAAATTTTTGTCTTAACTGTTAGACACCGTTGGCTTTCCTCCGAAAATTTTAACACAGTGTTTAAAATTTTAGACGGAAATACTTTCTTTTCCTCTATTATTTTTATTTGTTTAGGTTTTGAGACAGCCCAAGTGCCCCATCTTATGTTGTATTTTAGTACTTATTTTCTTCAAAGTCAGTCCCTGACTTTTTTGTTTGTTTAAAAGCAGCCTCTGTCCTGCTTCCCTTTGCCACGGTCCTCACACTCTTCTGACTTTTGTCTCTGGGCTTCCATCTTTGTAAGTGGCCTACTAACACTACCATTTCTGGATATTTTCTCATACGCATTCCTCCACACTGAAAAATCTATGCCCAATATTCATCTATTGCAGGCATGTAAATTGCCAAAGCTTGGCCACGTGGTATGGTATGATGACACGATGATTTTCTCCTTTTGTCTAAGATGTAATAACCCCCTTTTGCATTTCTGTGCCTCTGTTATCTATTCAGACTCTCGGAGCACAGAGCAGCCAAGTATGTGAGGTCAGTTGGAGTGTTGTCCCCTCCCTGCTGGAGCTGCCCATCCTTCAGCTCCAGTCTGAGCACCTGCTCTGCAGGTCAGGCCCATGGCTACTGACTTTATGCCTACTTCTTGTTCATTCTCCTGGAAGGTAGTTCTTATCATTAGGTTGTGTTGCATAAAACTGATGGTTTACTTACTTCAACCTACAAAAATTTTCTGCAGAAATCTATGAATCGGGGGCCAGCAAGGTGTCTCAGTGGGTAAAGGTGTTTACAACACCAAGACTAATGACCTGAGTTGGGTCCCTGGGATCCACCTGGTAGAAGGAGAGAACTGACTCCCACAAGTTGTCCTCTGACCTCCATGCCTAAGCCAAGGCATTCCTACCATATCCTCACACACAAAAAAGTAAATAAAATGCAATAAGTACATGCGTATGTCAATCAACGGCCAGGTGTTTCCTGTCTTTATAACTTTTAAAAATATGCATTTTAAATGCAGTCTTCTAAAACTGTGGCATGTTCCAGGATATTAATCACTTCTTTCAGAGCTTTTGCCTTTGTCTCTGATTTTTAAAGGTCCTTCCAAAAGCACGTGCCTGAGGTCATGTGTCCTTCTCTAACATTGTTTAATTACTATGTAGGTTATTTTATGGATGGTATAGAGGATGGCTACTACTCACTTTTTCAAATAAACAGTCCATTTCCCAGGACACTTTTCTAAATTGAGTGTATCACCCCTTCTCCACAAATGCCCAGAGCTTCTTCCCCAGATCCAGAAGTGTCTCTGGACTCACTCTGCTGAAGAGTGGTCCCTTCCCCTCAGTAGTGCAAGGGATTCAGTGCCATGGGTTCATGAATGTTTTTGGATCTTGAGAGTAAGTCTCACTTTACACTTCCTTTTCAAAGGGTTGGTTTCTTTTCTGTTGCTACGAAAAACACCCTGCCAATGGCAACTTAAGGACAGGGTTATTTGAGTTCACCATTCAAGGTACTTGGTAGGGAAGTTGAGGGGTAAGGAACTTGAAGCTGCTGGTCACAAGACGTCTGCAGTCGGGAGGATGAGAACAATGAATGCTTGCTGAATTCCTCTATTGTTTATGTCCACAGTAAAAAGAATTCCTACTAATCTGGGGTGAGGTCATTTACTTTTCTTGTTTCTTAGAAGCCCATGTGTTAACTTCAGCTAGTTTTCTCTGATTGGATCCTTTAATAAATAAGTAATTAAGTTTCCCAATTTTTCCTTTTGATTCAGTTCAGGACCCAAGCCCAGAGAATGGAGCCACCAACTGTCACTGAGAATCTTTCTACCTCAATTAACATAAGCAACCTAATTCTCTATAGCCACTTCCGGAAGCAAAGAGCCTCCTGACCCACTGTTTTGCCCTGAGTCTTGTCTCCTCAGGGAACCCACTCCAAAACAGGGACAAATGGCTGTTTCTGCAACCCGATGACTAAATTTCTAAGTATCAACCCTAGAACTTGAGTAACCGCAATAAGCCTAGAGTGGGATTCTATATTCTACAGTATGTTTAGAGAAATACAACACCGATTTCATTGTTCATCTCTTTACCTGCCAACACCCTGTCTCATTTCAAAATTCAGATTCGCCTAGAGTAGGATTCTATATTCTACAGTATGTTTAGAGAAATACAACACCGATTTCACTGTTCATCTCTTTACCTGCCAACACCCTGTCTCATTTCAAAATTCAGATTACCAGTATGATGGAAGAAAACGAAAAGATGGACCCGATCTCGAAGTTAGATCAGCAGGAATTTTGCCTGGATCCTGAGGAGCTGGAAAGACTCAATGAAGAAAGCGAGGAGGAAGTAGCAAAGGTAAGAAAGCACCTCACGGAGGCCCCAAGCATGCCATGGAACACATAAAACAAACTAATGCCGAGAAAGGTTCTTCCCATGTTAATTTTCCAGCACTGTGGTCTTTGGAAGAAATACCAGCACTGGACTTAGCCCTCCTACTGGGAATAAGATGTGATTCTGTGAAAGAAGAAGTGGCACCCAAGTCAGGGGTCTCCCTAGTCAGCCCAGCCGCTGGGGTTCCACAGTAGAGGACCCTGAATGGGAAGGAGTTGGTTGGAGAGTGTCAGCAGGGGGATAGGGCTTAAAAGAACTCAAGACAACTGGTATGTCAAGGACAACTGTATTGACTCGGTGTATCAGAAGAAAAAAGGAAAGGAAATGCAAATCAAACCAAGTCATTTGATCGGCAAACAAAATAAATAAAAAGGAATGTGAAAAAATTAATCTGAGAGACTATTCTGAACCAGTTTGTAAATAATCCTTCCTGCAAGGAAGTTGACAGGCAGGAGCCGAAGGAACAAGGACTGTTGTGTTTCACTGGCATGCCATGCTTTGAGCAGACTCTAAATAGGGACACTTCATTGCTTGTCTGTTAAGAGATATCAGCAGATAAAGCCAATTGAAGTTAACATATGCTTATAAATTTTTTTAAAAAGCAAATAATCTAGTTCCCTAGATAAATTGGTGTTCTTTTTATTGTAAACATAAATAATAGAGGAATTAAGTAAGAATTTCCGACACAGACCACAAACTGGCCCTTTGATATGTGTTCACAAGAATAAAGTATGGATCTCAGTCTTCTTTTGATTAAACAGAAGACGGCACTGGAAAGACTTAAAAACAAAACAAAACTGGGTGTAGCTGCTCAGCACTGGGGAGGCTGAGATAGGAAACAGCAATCTAGGCTCCATGGAGAGCCCCGGGACAGTGAGAGATCCTGTCTCAATGGACAAGGTGTCCAGAGGCGTGACACTTGAGGTTGTCACCTAGCAAGTCATACACGCATGTGTCTACACAGGGAGAACCCAGGAAGACATGGCACCTGACTTCCCCCAGGTTTTCTAAACCAGTCGGGCTGCTTCCAGTTACCCCCTAGGAGGTGTCTGTCCGCACAGCCCCCTTTGTTCATGGATGTGATCTGGCCATCCTTACAGGCATTCATGTTGATACAGCAGTCTTCAAGGCAGAAATGGAAGTCTTGACCCAAGCCTTAGGAAGCATTCTCCAAATGGGGCTAGGTGGCCCAGAAGTCCACCACAGTGTAGGGCAGCTCAAGAGGGCGGGGGAGGAGGGGATCCTGTAAAAACACTCCTGCTAAGTGGGCAGCTCTGACTAGTTAATGAGCTGATGAGAGCATTTTTTTTTCCTAAGTGGCTATATTTTCACTTTTATCTTTTCCCTTCCTCCAAGGTAAAAAAAGATGTGGAGATGCATAACTTAGCCAAGAACTACTTAACTGAGCTCATCAAGGAAGAGTGCTGGAATTCCATGGCTGTGAAGGGCCGAGCCCTGAAGGTAATAAATACACACCCAGCCCCAGGCACAGCATCCTAACTGATGAGAAGTGTCATTTTTAAAAAAATTTCAGCACATGACTTTTTAAAAAAGTAAAGAAAATCCACACAACAGAGGTCCAGAGCAGGCCTTGCTACCCCTGCACCGAATTGCACCGGTGTGTCTGTCACCTTCCTTTGGTTCATTCATCCCTCTTCTCTGTCTCGTGTGCTTAGAAAACCTGTGTTTCCAGGTTGTCTTAGTACCTTATCCTCTGCCTTCTATAATGCCCCCATCTTTCTCTTAATGCCTTCCACCCCTAAAGGCTATCTAACTCAGGTTCCTTCCACACAGAGTAAAAGGTAGACAAAACACTTGTCCACATTTATACCTCCACTTCCGGTCATGTGTTCTGAACGGCCATCCTTTTACCTCTTCGAATAGGGTACACATAGGGTAATCAAACATCTCAGTCTATGCTTATGTCCTTAAATAGCTACTAACTGTACCTTTTCCCTCTTTCAAATGCACCTTTCCCTACCTATCCCCATTTGAGTGACAAAGTTCACGCCACCGTACATTTGTGTGATTGGGTAGCTCGTGTGGCAACGATTTTGTGTTGTCAGCATTGTCCTATGTAGTGATGGGTATTTTACATCCTCTTTGGCCTCTATCTACTTGCAGGGACATCTTCATACTACTATAGTAGCAATAGAAAAAGTCTCTAGACAATCCCAAAAAAATCCAGGAGAGGAGGAGGATGTGGGCAAAGCTGTTCTTGACAACAATTGCTCTGTTAAGATCCCTTCACAAAAAGCATGCTGTTTGACACAATGGTCCACACATAGGGACTGCATTATACCACTTTATTTGAAAGGTTTTGGGTGTACATTTCACTCACTGTGTAATACCCTCTGGATTGATTTGCATGAGAGGAAACAGCTCCTATGCTCCCCGGATACCCACAAGAGTAGTAGAGAATGAATTTATGTCATCTTGCTTTCCACCCGAGTGCTTTCACATACCGTATGTGGTTGACAACTTCCCCATGAAAGAGCGCACTGAAGAAGAGCTGCTGGAGTTGAAAAGAGTTTTGCAGCAAAAGAAGACGGAGGCAGAGTGTCTTAAGGTACCACTTTAAACATATGTGCGTGTTTACATATAAGATGTGATTTATTATCCCTGAGCTGGCTAGTTTCATGTCAACTTGACCCAAGCTACAGCCTTCAAGTTGAAGGCACCTCAGTTGAGAAAATGCCTCCCTAATATCTGGCTGTAGAACATTTTCTTAATCAGTGATAGAAATGGGACAGCACAGGCCATTGTTGAGTAGTGCCATCCCTAGATGGGTGGCCTGAGGTTCTATAAGAAAGCAAGCTGAGCACACTGGTAAGCAGCACCCCACCCTACCCCCAAAAGCCTCTGCATCAGCTCCTGCCTCCTCCAGGTTCCTGCCCTGCTTGAGCTCCTGCCCTTACTTCCTTCGATGATGAACAGTGATGTGGAAGTGTGAGCCAAATTCCTCTCCTACTTGCTTTTGTTATGCTGTTTCCTTACAGCAACAGGAGCCCTGGCTAGGACAGGCCCCATCATGTGGACTTGTGCTGAGATTAAATTAAGTTTGCATATAAGTATATTTATATTTCTTTCTAATTTATAGACTATGTCCTCATAAATATATAATCCTATATCCAAATAACAAAAAATATTATATGCTATATGTTGATTAGTCTTCAAGTACAAGAATTTACTTTTTTAAAATGTGACTCAGGGGCTGTTCACATCCTGCTCAGAGGTTGTCTGGCTCCCCAATCCCTTCTCTGTCTGCCCATCCACTAGGGCCATGCTATGGTCATTGACCAAGGATGAACTGAATCTATGTTGATGGAATTTATGATTGTCCAAAAGCAATCCCAGCTATAATTCTTAAACAACAGTCTCCGTCAAAGCAGTAAAAAGTGTCCCTTTGGCATAACTTAGTTTTTGCCAGAACTTTGTACCCTCTCTCTTTTTCTGAAACATAAAATGAAGGCATACCTAAATCAATTTACACTCTCTAATCCCATGTGAACAAGTTCCTTGATAAAATATGAGGAGACGATAAGTTTTTCGAGTTTAAGTACCAGGAGAGACTTGGAATATTTACAAGCAGGTATCATCCTGACACAAAAACGTAAATACTGTGTGCTAGCAGGGGTCGCTTTTATTCCTTTGATTTACAATGAGTCAGCTTGTAAAGATTTAATCTCTTTGCGGCCATTTCAGCATCCATAACATTGAGCCAAATAGTTGGCAATACCGTTTAACCTTTTACAGTGATTGTTGAAGTAATTAAATCACCTGGAAATTGCCCTTTGTGGGATTCTAACTACATGACCTCCGTGTCATCTCTCCCCTATTCTTAGCTACGGAAGGAAATCATAGAGGTCCAGTCTTCAGCCACTTTGCTTAAAAAACATCATGATGAGGATGATGAGGAAGAAGAGGACGAAGAAAAGACAATAGACAGCAGTCTGCCCAATTACCTACTCGGCAGTTTGAGTACTGATTTTGGGGCAGATACCTCTTTGTTGACCAGCCAATTGGAACTTCATTCCAGAGAGGAGAAAATCAATCAAATTATATTACTAAAAGTGAGTGAATTTCTTTTTTATTTTAAAAACAACCTCACATTGCCCCACAAGGTGCCTTTCAAAGGCTCACATTGAAGTGCAGCAGTCAAGCGATGTCTCTCTACACCTAGAGAAATACACAGATGACTGGCATTCACGTCTTATAGGCAGGGCTTGTATGCAAAAGACATTCCCACCTATTCAAACTTGATTTGACGGTGCCAAGTTTCCCGGGAGCTGCTTTTCCTTAACTGTCACACAGACATTCTTCTTAGAGCTTTAGTTGGCTTGAAGAATGCTTCAATTCCCTGTGACAGTAACCCACGCATCACTTGGGATCTTGTGAGGTCAGGATGCGACTGCTCATCTGTCTACTGAACTCAGAGAAATACAATGGCCTCCTCTGGCTGCAAGCTCCTTGACCTCTGCCAATTGGTCAGTCTCAGAACACACCCGAAACGGAGAAGATGCTAGTGAATTTTTTTAATCAATAACTAAGATTGTAGATGGTTTGAAATTCAATTAGCTGTTCCCATTCTCAAAGGTTCTTTGCTGTGTCCCTCAGCCCTTGCTTCCCATCCTTTTCTTCCTCCTCCACATTGGCTTATTTGTACACAGAACTATTTTGTCACCTCTGATCAGTTACTGGTCCTCTTCTTGTTGCCATATATGAGCCCCAAAGGTGCAAGGTGTTAACATTATTCCCAGCCTTCTTTAATGATGTCATCTTTAGTGGGAGAAACTGAAGGACCAGACTCTGGCTTAATATAAACCAGCATTTGAGTAAGAGTTGCCACTTTGAGTTGAACCCTTAGCACTTGGGTTGAGTTGGGCAATCCACTTGATCATGCTGCCACCACAGCTATTGGCTGACCTGGCTGGCTAACTCATGTTCCCCCTTCTATCTGAGAATGACTTAACTCTATCAAAGAAGCACACAGGCACAGTGGTCCTTCTCTGTGAGACTCCAAACACCACTGCTTCCTTTCTCCACGTCTCCATTCAAGTATCCAAGGAAGGAGTGCTGAGTTCTGTATATTGCTTTATAAAATTTTATGGTAGATTTTTAAGGACATGAAAAAAAGTAGAATTGTCCGATAAGCTTCCAAGTACCCATCAGGACTTTCAAGCAGACCTGCATGTGGAATTACAGCTCACACTTTAGATAGGAGGCAGTTAGGGTGTAAATCTTGCTGCTGCCTTAATCCAAACCCAGCAAGCTATCACTGTAGATTACTAACCCTAGAAATGACTGGCTGTCAACATCAGTCTGGGAAGACGATTTTGACCTTCCGAAATGCTAATTTCTGGAACGATCTTCCAGGTGTACATAGGATTGTGTTACCAGAAAAGATGTAAGCTATGATGTGTCTCCAGTAACCTATGGATATTTCAGGACATCATCTACAAGGTCAAAAAGGCTTTCAATAGTGAGTTCGATGCTGCCCGTAAACAGAAAGAGATCGAAATTGCACGAGTAAAGGAAAAAAATGTTCGAATTGGAGAAATTATTTCAGACCTGGAACTGGAAGAAAAAGTCTGGCAACCAGTGTTCGAAGACTGTGAGAAGCCAGAAAGAGCCCTTGTTGTGGAAGATGATGAGGTACAGGCTAGCCATCTCATCCCTTTCCATGTCTAGGGAGTTCTTGCCAGCCCTCACTCTGCCACCCTCTAAGGTCCAGGTCACAGCAATCACTTTTGCAAGGTTACTGAAACCCAGCTCCGCTTGGCTTAAGCTCCAAGCCATTCTACACGCAGGAGAACAGTTATTTTGCCCAATCTTTGTTGCCCCTGCTCTGCCTGGCTCCTGCACGGGCTACTCACCCACCAGTGGGAATAAAGCCCATAGACCCTCCTCTCACCTCCTCCTTGTCTGGTGATGCCCCTGTTCTGACTATACACTCTGGTTCATGGCTCCTTGACCACACCAAGCTCTTAACTCCAAGACCTCTATATTTTTGGATATGACTTAGTTGATTCTTCTAAACCTCCTACCATTCTGCCTTAATCTAAATAAAATTCCTCTTCAGAGGCGAGAGTACCTGAACATTAGTAGATAAGAGAAGGACCATTTTCCAGCACTATTATTTTAGAACTTCTTCATCCCACAATAAAAAAAAAACTGGTTGAAAATATGTAATGTTGCTTTAACACCACCCCCCAATACCATTTAACTTTCTCCCAGAATGTGGAAGGAAAATCTGGCTTGATATTTTTTTAAGAAACTATACTTTCTCTTTCAGATTTCATTTCAAAAACATGTTCCTCCATGGCAAAAGTCCAAAACAGAAATGACTGCATCCTTTGAAATGGATCAATTGCAACAAGCACAGGTATGTGGTTTTGCTCAAATAGTACCCCAAACCTTCTTTGCATCCTAGAAACACACCCAGTATTAGTCACAGTCTAGAGGTCACTTGGATCTCAGCTGCTGTCCTTTTGTTCTCTCCCCATGTCCCTGTCACTTCCCAAGCCCCAAATGAAATCATTCTAATGGCAGGAAGGCAGCTGCCTGCCATGCTAACTCTCTGTTTTAAATGTCTTCTCTGATCATGGTCCTTCCCCAGGCATCCAATGCAAGACAAAGAGGCCTGATGGACATGATGGGAGGTGTTCTGGAAGTCAAGAAGGAAGACATCTTGAGAATGGTGAGATATTCTGCAGTCTTTGTGTGAAATGCAATAAGGTAGAGAGAGCTACTTAAAGTTCATCATTTTTGTTCCCTGTAAAATGCAGTTTTAGAAGTTCTAAATCCCCCAAAATTCAGTAACCTAGAAAGATGCCACAGTGGGCCAACAACAAATTTGCCTTCCATTCTCTCTCATACACTCACCACCACCAAAATAAAAGGAGAAGGAGAGAAAGGAGGAAGAGGAAGGGGAGGAGGGAGAAGGAAGAGGAGGAGGAGAAGAAGGAGAAGAAGGAGAAATGAGCACAAACAAGCAAGCTTAGCCCATAGTGATCTTGCTTCACCTACAGCTGTTCAGAATACCAGGGACATGACATTCCAGGTCTTCCTGAAGTTCGAGCTACAAAGATACCGATACCATCTGTGTCTGTTACTTAAGAGTCTGGGCAACCCTAAAATGACCATCGCCCTCTCAGGGTCATAGGAACCTCCGTTTAAGCATCAGTTACTCCCCTTAAGGTTCCCCCTTTTAACTGCCACATTGGCACAGCTTACATACACTAGAGCATGCGCTTTCCTTGTGTCTCCAGGTGATCCCTCAACCTGCTTTCATGACAAAATCTGACGCTGTGTGGACTGAAGAAGAAAGGAAGCAGTTCAAAGAATATGAGAAAAAAGTCAAGGAGCTAAATGAAGAGAGAGATAAGTACAGAAAGGTTAGAAGAACAGAAAATTAACAAAACATCTCTAGACTCTCTAGGTCAATTTTTCCCCATGCCTCTAAGGACTTCATGATAATAATTTGACTTAAAGTCCCAAGAGAACATAGGGAGGTTGGTATAGAAAAAAACTTAAAGCCTGGGGACATTCAAAACAAAAGAAAGATACATAACATTTTTGAAGTTTTTATTAGTATCAACACTTTCCACATTGTTACCATCCATTTGGCCCTTTGTCTAGTGCATGCAAGACATCACTAGGGATTACTCTGTCTTGACTACAGCTATTGAGTAGTGATGCTTGAATTCAGTGATGCTTATGGTGGATTCAAGCTCAATATCAAGGAAAGGATTTGAGAAAAGAAAAATATGATCAGCATGGCACACAGTTCATTTCTTATTTGAGGATTTTGGTCTATTATTCTATTTTTATGTTCTTCCAGCTCAAAGAAACATCCCCACATTAAAATATCTTCCACCGCAGTAGAGACATAAAAGTTGGTGGTAACTGACCATGGCAGTGCGTACCTACAGCACATGGAAGGTAGAGCAGGCACATCAAGGAGAGTCTAAGAAGCCTGGGATACATAGTAAGACCCCTCCGAAAAGGTTGTTACATAATAGAGTAAATAATATTTTTTTATGAAGGCAATAAAACCGCACCATCACTCAAGACAGGATAGTACAACTTACCAGCCGTATTATGGCATTATCTTTCAAGAAACTTCTTTGAATCTATTGCTAATCTGCTTATATTTTTGTTCATTGTAGTTCTCCCTTGTATGTTTAAGCAAGTTTAAAAGCCTAACAACTAATCTTGGAAGAAGTCAAGGTTTGGAGAGCTAGGGATACAGTTGCCCAAAGAGTAAAGGGTGGTGTTCCAGGTAGCTTTGTCAACTCAACACCAACTAGAGTCAAGTGAATTAAAATTACCTGACTCTAGGAAATGTCCTCATCTGACTGGTCAGTGGGCATGTCTGTAGGACATTTTCTTGCTTATTGATTGACACGGGAGGGCCCAGCCCACTGAGGTCAGTCCCACCCTTGGGCAGTAGAAGACAATTGAAAGTGAGCCCAGAAGCAAGCTGGCAAGCAGCCTCCTCCATGGTCCCTGCCTTGCCCAACTTCAGTTCCTGCCCTAACTTCCCTCAGTGATGGACATCGGCCAGGACATGTGAGCTAATGTTGTCCCCGAGTTGCTTTTGTCGTGGTGCTTATCCCAGCAATAGAAAACACTAGACCAGGAGTGACTGGTCACTGTGTTCACTCATGTTTTAATGGGGTTCCCTACTTTTACCCCCACTTCCCTGAACATCCAGCCTTGACTAAATTCAACATTTGTCCTGGTTTGCTTTCTATTGCTGAGATAAACACCATAACCCAAAATGACCAAAAGCAACTTGAGGAGGAAAGGGTTGGCTTCTTCTTACAGTCTGGAACATCATCATGAAGGGAAGTCAGGGCAGGAACTCAAGAAAGGAACCTGGAAGCAGGAGCTGAAGCAGAGGAAGAATACTACTTATCACCAGCTGGCTCTCCATGGCTTTCTCAGCCTGCCTTCTGTTCAGCCCAGGTCCACTTGCCCAGGGTGGCTCCAGGGTAGTCATCTGGCCCCTCCCACATCAGTCATTCATCAAGAAAATACCTCGCAGGCTTGTCTACAGGCCATGTGATGGCCATGATCCATCAATTGTCTTCCCTTCTCAGATGTCTCCAGCTTGTACCAAGCTGGCAGAAAACTAGCATGCATAACATTCCTGCCACCCACCTCTGAACCTGCTTTCATGCAGCACATCAAGGAAACAAAGCAAACACCAAATATAGCTTTACCTGTGTGCTTAACTTCAGTCTGGGTTGGATTTTTAAAAGCTTTTCCACATTGCTCTCCCTTTGCTCAGCCTGGTGCTCTCACACTGACACATGGATCTATGACAGCTAACCTTGTTTCATTTCACACACTCCTTCTTCTGCCCTAACACAGGACATTGGACTACCTTCTCAGGCAGATCCTGAGAGCTCGTTGGTCAGCCAGCGTAGTCCAAATGGTGAGCTTCAGGTCTAGTGGTCTCAAAGGAACAAAGCAGAGAGTGATAACTCGAGACATCATCCTCTGGCCTTCACACCCGTGTGCACAAGTACGTGCACACACACACACACACACACACACACACACACACACACAC